CATTACACTCAAAGTCTACACAGCCTTGACTGCTTGCTTAGCAGCAGTAAAAGCAGCTGCACATGTCTCATCCCAGTCCTACCTGATGCCCTTTCATACCAACCAGTATAAGGGCTTCAGAATTTGTGCCAAGTGTGGGATAAACACTCTCCAGTAGCCCAAGAGAGCCAAAAATTCTTGTAATACTGTCACAGTGGTAGGAGTAGGGAAAGCCTAGACCATGTCTGTGACTGCTTCTGGAATAACTTTAGTTCTACCTGACCAGAGAACCCCCAAGAACTTTACAGACAAACCAGTTCCCTGAACCTGGGTGCTGTTCACAGCCTATCCTTTCCCCTATAGATGTTGCAGCAGTCTAGGAACTGCCCCTTCTAAATCTGCAAGAGAATCAAGCGTGAGCATAATACCATCAATGTAGCAATACAGCCACACCATTTGCAGTTTCTTCCATGTGGCCAAGTCCTGGGCTACAAGTCTGACAGATGGTGGGACTGTGGAGGTATCCCTGTGGAAAGACAGTGAATGTCCACTGCTGGCCTTCCCACGTGAAGGCAAACTGTTCCTGACTTACCTGTGCTATGTCAATAGAGAAGAAAACATTAGGAAGGTCTACTACATAATGCTATGTCCCTAGTTCATGACTGAGGGTGTCCATAAGGGCTGCTTATAGAGGGGACAGAAACATGCAAAGGGGGTGTGACTATATTCAATTCACTGTAATCCATGGTCATATGTCGGGAGCCATTCTACTTTTTCCACTGGCCATACCAGGGAATAAGAGGATTATGAGTGGGCTTTATGATGCCCACTTTCACCAACTCTTGTAGAGTTTCTCCAATTTCCTTGTGTCCCCTAGACAAGTTATATTGCTTAGTATTTGTCACCCACTGTAGTACAAGCAGAGCTGCAGGCAGGTGCTTAGCATGTCCCCTCAGAACTATCTTTACCGCATGTGCCTACAATCTGAACTCATCTGCAGGGCGTGTAACCACAGGCCCTGAAGGATATTCACCCCCAAAATACATTCAGGGATGGAAGAAATGTACACAGTATACTCCTCTGGGGATAAACACCTATCCACAATGGGATTTAGGCTTTCTTCACTTTAATTGCCCTACTCCCATAGCCATCTATCACAGCAGGAGTCCCAGGAAAACACTCAGGGTTGCCAGAAATCAGAGAACATTAAGCTCCTGTGTCCACCAGTGCCAGGACATGTTGTACATTCATGGGGGACCAATCAGTTGCTAATTCTACATGCAGCCTCCAGTTCCCATCATGTCCCCCAAGGTGGGGGCCTTGACCCCCTCCTAAGTCAAACTGCAATGCCCAATTGTCCTCCTGTAGGGGTGAGGGCTCAGGTGAGCCTGAGAGCCTGAGTACTGTCCCCCAGGAAGTCTTGCAAGGACACAGGCTTGCCTCCTAATTCTATTTCCTGGACCTCAGTGGCTGGAACTACTGCAATGTCTATAATTGGTGCCACAGTTCTAACAAGATCCGATTGGGCTGCCCATCAAGTTTTTCTTTTACTACCTCTGCCTTTATCAGATCAACCCACATCCGGGTCCTTGAGACCTTCATGGGACCCTTTGCACCTCTCCTTTCAGTACTAACCCGAACTTCCTTCCTTGCTCTTATTGTTTCAACCTACCCCAGATCTCCTAAAGTACAAGTAGCCTCACTTATGCCTTGCCTTCTGTAGGGGGCAAGAATAGTCACTAGGTACCCAAAGAGATGGAGGAGCTGTATGGAGCACTAGATTTCTCATTCTTACAGTGAACAACTCCTCCTCAGGACCATGGGGATCCATATTATAGATAATATTTTTCATGCCCAACTCCAGTAACACCTGCTAGAGCTCTACATATGTTTTCCAGTAGTGGATAAGTAGGGTAAATCAGCCTGATTAGGCCAAACTTTCCTGATGCCTGCTGTCAGCCAATCCAGAAGTGCCAGATTCCTTGAGGTGTGATGGGCATTTTGCAACCACTGCTGGAGGGAAGGGTGAGTCATCAGTTAAGCTAGTCTACCCATTTCAGAACCCAATGCAACAATGTTTTCCACCCCCATATCCCAAAGACACAAAAGCCTTGTAAGCAGAGAGGTTCTGATGACTTCTGCTGAAATTGGATGCTCAGTACACCAGCTCATCCAGGGTACAGTGGCAGCATGGAGTATTCCACAACCTGGGGAGGAAGTGGCTCCTCCCCCTCAGGAGCTCACGATTGTTGCATTTTTATTTTCTTAATTACAACCAGGAGGGCCTTTAATATGGGAGAGGCTGATGCCTCAAATGGTGGCCTTGGCAACAGCTTGGTCCTTGAACCTACCCCCTCGTCCTCCCCTGATATCTCCTCTACCATCTCCACACTGAATGCACTACTCCTTCCTCCCCCTCCCTCACACACTCCTGCAGTGTGGATTTTCCTGCTGCCTCCCCCCTCACTGCTAACATATCTTCCAGAGGCAATGACCCATCTTCTCAATAACTGTCTCTCTTTCTTAAGGGCATCCCATAGGTCATCCCATAGGCCCAGCTCCTCCAAACAATACTGAAGTGTGTCTCTCTCCTTGATAATTCTTTCTACTCTCTCAAAAAACAAACATGCCACAATCCTGGCTGCCACATGGCCATTCAGGGCCTCTAAGCAGTCTTCTATCTCATGGAGGGATAATTTCATAGCTTCTGGTGTCTCCACACTTCCCCAATTCTGGGGAAAGGCACACCCATCTAGGATGTACTTTATCTTAGACCAATTCCCCACTAGGGACTCCCCAAATGGAAGTGCCATGGATGGGGGGGCTCCCATGTGATGGTGCACCATCCACTGCTGCTGGAGGTAAAAGTGAGTTATTACCCTCCACTGCAGCAGCCACTGGGGCCTCCCCACCATCCACACAGGGTGTTCTGGGTATCTCCCCACCATCTCTAGGGGCAGCCTAGGTTCAGAGGTCCTGTTAACTACCACCAGGTATAACTCTGGGGGAAAAATATGATCCCAGCCTGGGGCAAATAACCTTTGAAGCCAAAATCAGTCAAAGGGAGAAATAAAGTGGGAGAAATGCATTTATTGCTTACAAGCAGTTGTCTACTTCTGCTCACCCGTGTCTCTAGTGACCTGTCTGCAAAAGGACCCACAGCATCTCTCCAGTCCTAGTGCATCCTCACTCCTCACCCACCTTGTAATCACCTATTGATATGGAGATTGTCTACTTCTCTCCACCTCTTGGAAACACCTATTGATATGGAGATGCACTAAGGCCAGCAAGAGATTCTGGACATATTGCAATTTCACCTACAACTAGTCATGTCAAATTCCTTTAGACACAGAATTCTTATTTCAAATGATATCCTATATAAAATAATAAATAATAACAACAAGGTTTGAGCAGTTCCTATGAGCTGAGACCTGTGTTAAGCACTTCACATAGATTGTCTAATCTAATCCTAAAAATAGCCATATACATTATTATTGCCAATTTTTAGATGCACAAACCAAAGTGTAGATAAATCAGGTAAAAATGGAATTGGTATTCTAGCTCTAGTGGGACCACTCCCACACTTTTGGCCTCTAGGGTCTCCCCAGAGTACATTTTGAAAACCAGTGCACAGATAAGCCTAAACATATTTGTACCTGAACCAGAAAACATACCAAAACCATGACTCACATAAAGTTTAATCAGGGACAGTTCTTCCTGGGACCTCAGCAGTTTTCTAGAATCCTGATATCCCACCTCACTATCCTCACTCCCAAAAGCCATTTCACCATGCTCACTGTCCAGTCTTAGTAAAGAAAGGAAGTGCTCACTTATCATTTTATCTGCCCAGGCTCTTCTTTCTGGGAGTTCTATGCTCTCCCAATTCCCATGTCCTGCTTTGAGGAAGGGTTGCCCTGTTCTCACATCACTCCACCCTTAAATCACAGCTAACTGGCCAGAGGATGGATATTAGATCCCAGTTTGGCCAATCAGGGTGCTTCCACAGGTTTTCAAATTGGAATAGAAGTATTCCTGCCTGATAATGGAACTCTGAGATGTGGATCTTGTTGGATGTGTTCCTGACTGTGGAGAACTCAGTCTGTAAGGAAAGGGACTGAGTACAGCCTGCAGAGAGCAAATACAGTCTTGGGACATTTGATTTTCTGCTTTCAGTCCCTGAGATTGAACAACATTGCAGCCCTTCTCACTGTGTGCTTGTTCATTCCTTCTTTATGTTGGCCTAGCTAAGCAGAGCCAGTTTCTGTTGGTGCCACAGAAAAAAAAGAAAGGAGGAAAGGAAGAAAAGAAAAGAAAAAAGACAGAAAAAAAAGAGGAAAAAGAAAAAGAAGGGCATAGATTGTACGAGTTGAGTTGACCACTCAACAGCCATTCTTGCTCTTTTTTTTCCCTGGGAGAACCTGAATCCCAGCCAGCCATCCTTGCAGATAGGGAACTGGCCCAGCATTAACCTTGGTGAATAAAATGTAAGGGACAATCTAACAGGAGGTAGAAGAGTTGTCTGGAAGAGTTTTCTTGGTTATTCAAAGGCGGAATGAGATAGGGCATGTGAAGAGATAGCTTTTTGTCCCCAGATATCTGTTTTGCCCTTTCTCTGTCTAGGAGGAATTTTTAGCTAGGCACATATCCAGCCAACTATTGCATTTCCCAGCATCCCTTGCAGCTGGGTGTGGCCACATGATCAAGTTCTAACCAACCATATAAGTGATGTACAGTTTCTGTGCCTGTGCCTGTAAGAGGAGAGGCATGTTCTCTTTCCCCTCTCTTCCTCCTTCTTGATGACTAAAATGCTTACATAATAAAGAGCCATCCCCATCCTTGAAGATAAAGGCAACAAGATAGAGAAGTCTAGCCCTCAATATCACTTCTGTCATGTTAACCCTGAACTGGTTTGGGGCTGGAATGGGATAGGAAAATAGACTTCTATTTTATTAAATCTACTGCTATTTGGGGTCTTGTTACAGTAGCTGTCTTGTCTACTACAGGATCTTCCTACTTTAGATCTTGGTGTTCTGTGTGGAGCTGTGGCAGCCATCTTATCACCATGAGGGGAAAGTGAAGAGGATAATTGAGAATCCAACTGAGGGCCCTACCTCCACTGAGCTGCTGAATTTGCCAACTCTACAACCTCTAATTCCAGGTATCTTGTTAAGTGAGGTAATGAATTTCCTATTATTCAAGCTGCTTTCATTGGTCTTTGTGTCACTTGCAGGTGAAGCATGCCAATGAGACCTCTATGAGGCCTGTGGTGGAGTTGCCTGAAGTCATACCTTGGGCAGGGACAGTGAATGGCTATAGCCCCAGTGGGGAGCTTTGTGACCCAAGCGCATTCTCCCATCAGGAGATTCTGCCACTTCCATCCAGGAGTACCAATTTAGACTCAGACCTTTCCATACAAAGCAGCTATCAAAAGTGTTACTAAAACAGAGACTCTGTTTATCTGAAAAGAGATAGAAAAAGAGAGAGGGAGATTGAAGACATTCCACCTAAGGTGTGTGGTAGGAGGAACATGGCTTGTGTCCCCTGACCAGGAGTAACAGTGAGTCTCTCCTGGGTCCCTGGCAGCTTTACCATGAAAAGCTTTATTTCTGTCTGTGATTTACACTTCATGAAGGCAGGAGTTCCTGTGGATCACTTGGGGTCTTCGAAAGGAAATAGAAATCATATCAGCTAGGATTTGGATGAAGACTTAATGAAGGGGCTTTACAGAGGTGTGGACCAGGGCTAAGGGATTGCTGAGGTGACCACAAACCAGTAACAGAAGGACGCATTGCTCCCAGCCTGAAGGTGCCAGTGCAGAGAGCCTGGCAAGGCCTGGAGCATGGGAGGGGCTGCCCACAGGAGCTGCCACTGTAGAGGGACACAGCCAAGACCTCGGAGGAAATACCCCAAACTCCTCTCCTCCTACTCTCTCATTTCCTGCCAGTACCTTCCATTCCACAATCAAGAGAGTAACGGAGCTTGGAGGATGCAATCCTTAGAGGTTAACACCCTGGGGCAGGGAGGCTCAGGGTATGGATTGGGGATGGAGGTGCAAGGGAGCCAGGCAGGAGTCACGTTTGTGTTGAGGCCCTCTTGCTCCAGAACTTTCCACAGCTGTCATGTCTTGCGATGTGAGTGGGGAGCAGAGGGTCACAACGGCCCCTCAGCCCAGGCACTTACGATAATGGAGGATCCAGGTTTAGAGGCCACTGAGAGGGCAGCTGGTGCCAGGATGCCTTACAGGAAAGGAAGAGAACCCTAGGGATGAGGGAGGCAAAGAGCCAGCTACCCTGCCAGGTGGGCACCAGAGGGGCTCTTGGGAAGCACCCTTACAATCAATGGCAAATGATGAAAAATGCAGACAGATAAATGACCTAAAAGACCCAAGCTTGCTGGAAGTGGTTTCTGATCTTGGCTCCGCTGCTGGGCAGCCAGGCTTGCAGGCTCTATTTTTAATCAGGGGCAGTTTGGTGGAAATAACTGGTTCCTTTGGGTTGCTTTGAAAGGAGGCTCTCCCTCTGTCTTCTCTACGTAGCTGCCTTCCCTGTCCCTAGAGCCCCTCCTCTTTAGTCCCAGCATGAGGAAGGTCACTGGGAGCTCCTCCTATGTAGACAGAAGAGGTGGAGGCCAGGGGTTTAGACCTCAGACAGAGCTATGTTCAAGCTCCAGCTCTGCCACATCAATTACACATTTGGGGGTAAGCCATTTAATCTTGGGGAACTTCAATGGCCTCATCCATGAAATGGGATAACAATAAACTTGCCTCTCAGGGACATTGTGAGGATTCAGTGAAACCGTGTATTGAATACAGCACACATAGTAACTGCAGAGGAAGTGTTTGATGAAGGTTAAATGAAGCTGAGCTGAAATTCTGAGCGAAGGCTGCCTGTATTCACTACCTAGCTCTGCTTAGCCTCTCTAAGCTTTGGTTTCCTCCTCTGTAAAATGTGCCGATTGACTGTGTCCACTGCCTATCATTACCATGAGGGTTAGGAGAAATGACACATGTAAGGCACCAGGCCTCTCTGGTAAGCACTAAACAGGTGGCACCTGTTGGAATTATTACTGGTATTATTTGAAAAGATTGGGGTAAAAGAACAAAGTCACTACCTAGGGTGGGGGCTGGGCTGGGGAAGAGGCTTTTACGAGCTGAACCCCTACCTATCCCACTCTTCATCACTCATTATTGGTATAGGAAATGACATGGGAAGCTGCCTTTCCTGGTCACAAAATGCACCCTTGGGTCGAGAGTGGTGCTGGTCAGTTTGGTGCCATGAATAAGAGCTGGAGCCTCACCATCAGACAGGATACACCTATGGGCCGTGGAACCTGGAACTAATCATTTCATTTCTCTGAGCCTCAGTTTCTTCCTCTGTAGAACATCTCCTAGCATAGCTGTTACAGTTGAAGGTAAAGGACTTAGGGCCTGGTTTATAATAAAGGGTGATAGTTTTTGTAATTATTCCTTGGATAGAATCAGGGTCCTCAGCACCCTGGAGGGAAGGAAACCTAACTGTCCCACTTGAAGGTGGAGAGAAGACACGTGACCAACATCACAAACCATCAGGGAAATGCAAATCAAAACCACAGGGAGGTATCACCTCACACCTGTCAGAATGGCTATTATCAAAAAGAGATTGCAAATGCTGGCAAGGATATGAAGAAAAGGGAAGCCTTGTGCAATGTTGATGGGAATGTAAACTGGTGTAGCCATTATGGAAAACAGTATAGCGATTCCTCAAGAAATTAAAAACAGAACTACCATATGAGCCAGCAATCCCACTCTTGGGTATATGCACAAAGGAAACAAACCATTATCTTGAAAAGATAACTGCACTCCATGTTCATCTCAGCATTATTCACAATAGTCAAGGTATGGAAACAATGTAAGTACCCATCACTGGCCGAATGGATCAAAAGAATATTATACGCACACTCCCCCACACAAAAAAATATGGAATATTTTTCAGCCATAAAAAGAAAGAAATCCTGTCCTATGTGACAACGTGGATGAGCCTGAGGGGCATTATGCTAAAGGAATAAGCCAGACAGAGAAAGACAAATTATCACACAGCATCACTTATATGTGGAGTCTAAAAAAAATAGACAAACTCATAGAAATAGAGAGTAGAAAGGTCGGGGAGATACAGAGGGGCTGGTAAAAGGTCACAAATTTTCAGCTGTAAGATGAATAAGGTCTGAGGATCTAATATATTATATGGTGACTATAATTGCTAATACTTTATTGTATAATCAAAATGTGCTAGGAGAGTAGAACTAAAATGTTCTTACCAGGATTTTTTTTTTTTTTCCTATTTTCCACCCCACCTTTTTTTTCTCTATCATGAGAGGTTGTGCTCCTGCTCAGTGAACAGACTGCTTCCCAGTTGCTCACTCTGTCCCTTCTCAGAGGCTGCATGATACCAGAGACATGGGGCCATCTGAGTTGCTACAATGCCTCCGCCCAGCCAACTGAGTGCCCTAGAGAGCAGGAGACCAGGTATTCTTTCCCCAGCTCCTATACCGGAGTCCTGGACTAAAAGACAATCAGTAGCTAATAAGGAGAATCACACATTTGTGCACTGTGTTTCTGCTTACAAAACATATTCACATCTGTTATCCTATCAGATTGGCCTTACCACCCCTATTTTACTGTCTGAAAGACCAGGAGGCTTGCCTAAGGCCTCTCAGCTGGTGGAGATCTAAGTATGCTCCCATCACAGCTTGGGTGCTACTTGAAAATGATAGCTGAAGGGATTTTGTTTGAAACACTTACTATGTCTCAGACCATATGCTATATGCTTTATATCCATCATCTCATTTAATCCTCGTAATAGCTTTGTAAGGTATATGCTACCATTTGATAAGTACAGAAACTGCGAGTCCCAATGTAGAGCTATTTGACCAGGGTCACACAGCAATTGAAACAGAGCCATGGCTTGGAACCAGGTCCATTCTTCAGAGCCTTCCAGAGTCTTCAGAGCTCATGCTCTCAACTGCCACACTTCCTACCAACAGTTTTTTCCCCAACTCCAAAGCCATATTTGGTGGCTATGCAACATCCTTTCCTACAAGGTGTCGATATTGCTTGTCCTTTGCCTCATCCCCATATCCAAGACAAGCCAGGGCAGAAGGAATAAGCATGAGTGGACATAAAAAGGTAAAAGAATACGATCGGGGTCAACACAACAGTTAAGCAATAGATCTGAGATTAGAATAAGTTTTGTTGGATTCTGTAGCCTATACTTCTAACCAACATAAAATATCATCTTCAATCATATTTAATTAATTTAGTATTTAATTTTATATACTTATATTTTATAATGGAATACTTGTAGTTCATTAATTTCTCATTTATGATTCCTACAACATTGCATTATAATTAAGGATTCATTTGTTTACTTAAGTATTCAATAGATCACACATACACAGTGCTTAGTGCACAAAGTTCCTGTAGAAAGCAGGGAATCTCCAAGTAGTTCTGAGCTTCTCCAGAGTGTGGACTGGGTCTCAATTGCCTTTTTAGTTGTGGCGCTTAGCTCAGTGCCCAGCACAGACAGCATTGCTACTTAGAGTTAGAGCGATGAATGAAATAAATGAGTAGAGTTGCTGAAATTCCAGCCTCATTTTCTGATTTCCTTTGCTGATCTCCAGTGCTTTTTCCATTACATCACAGCTACAAAGATGTGGAGTTGCTGGAACACCTAGTGGTACAATGGTACAAGCCAGGATGCATATGAACTTCCAAGGGGTGGACTGTGTACAGAAAGTAGGGCAAGCATGTGGACTCTAAACCCAACTTGCTTGGGTTCACATTCTGACTCTACCACATATTAGTTATGGGACCTCAGGCAAGTTACTCATACTCTCCCATCAACAGGAGGGGTACCACAGGGAAGACTTAGGGAATAGGGGTCACCATTACCTGGGTGAAGGCATCTCAGGCTCCACCAATGGGCAAGGCAGATGGGGCATTTGCAGTCAGAGCCTTAATGCTTCTCCATCAGAGTCCTCTTGTGGCCAGCTCTGTACTCCTGCCTTGACAAATGCATAAAGCCTTGTTAATAATAAATAGGCCCCGTCTGCCTTGCTTAACACTGAGCTCCAAGCAGATGCACAGTCCTTTATAAATGATCCAGTCCAGCTGATTAGGCCCCATGGGGCGCATTCCAGCAGCCAGCCTCTTGTTCCCCATAATGGAATCATAATGTTAATGTGATTTCAATTAGGACTACATTACAGAACACAGGTGCTAGAGTGAGCCTGTGGGCCTGGAGGCCTCCCCAGGGACTCATTTTCCTGGGAAAGGTACGTGTGTTTCCAAGGTCTCTGCCAACTTCAGAAAAAGCAAGTCACCCCACTGAAGGTAGGTCGTGCAAGCAGAGACAACAGGTATCCAGGCCCTGCTTTTCCTAGGCCCTGGACCTGTGTTTCTTATTCAGATTTGACTGGTGTGTAGCCTTTAGAGGAGAAAACCTGTCTTGGGGATCTCTGAGGTTCACAGGCCCAGTACTGGCCCAAGAACCAAAATCTTACTCAAGGAAGATGTCTTTCCATTGTAAATTCTCATTGCAAAAGAGAGGCATTGTCTTGATAAATGGCAAGAGCATTTGTTTCTAAATAAAAATACCTCACATGTAAGGAGGGTTTACTATATGCCAGATATAATTTTTTGTACTTTATGTATATGAACTCATTTCTTAGAGTTTTTATTATCAGAATGAAAGCATGCAGGCATTTAAAAATTTTTTCCACAGGATGCAAGCATCCCCAAGAACACATTTCCAGTCCCTAGTCTGAGAAACCCCTGTCTGGAGCAGCCAGTCCAGATGGGACTTTGAAACCCACTGGGCCCATTCTCATTCTCCAGATGAGGGAGCAGAGAGCCAGAGAGGGGAAGGCGCTTGCTCAGGGTGTCTGAGCAAGTCAGGGGCCAAAAGGAGAGCAGAACCCAGGTGTCCTGACTCCTAGTCCCAGTGCTTCCACATGCTTATTGTGGAAGAAAGTACAAAGAGGAAAATAAAAATCATCTGAAATTTGACTGCCCAGAAATCTCCATTGCTAATGTCAGGCAGAAAGACAGAAATGAGCAGGATGGAAAGGAGGAAGAGTCCCCCAAAGATGATTCAGGGAGTCGATCAGGTGGAACCAGAAAGCCAAAAATGACTCAAAGCGTTAATCAGATGAAGCCACAGTGTCCAGGGGTGACTCAGGAAATGTCCAAGGTCCCCCAGATAAGAAATATCAAAGGCGCAAGCACAGCACAGCCCCTGTCCCCATTTCACCAATCAGAACAAGCCTAGAGAACCGACAGCTGTCAATCAAGGACCTCTCTGCCATGCCAAAACCACATAAAAGAAGCCTCAGAACGAGCATTAACGCCTGCCTGTCTTATCTTAGGCAGGCCCCCTCTGTGACTCTATGCAGAGTGTATTAAAACTTACTTTGCTTTCTTGACTTTGGTCTCTTGTCTGACTGTATCTGACTTCCCTGCGACACTGAGCTGAGTCCTTTCCTTCCTAATACTAAGATTCTAGAATATCCTTCACTCTATAAATATATACCCACTCATAAAATGCGATAATAATAAATAGGTTATATTGTAACCTGATATTCTTTCGTGCCTAAATAGAGCATCTAGCTGGGCAGCCCTTGGGCATTTGTTTCTGAGACCCCGTCAATCTAATGACCCAATAGGCCCAGGGTGGCTTTTCTTGAAAGCTGCATCTTGCCCAGATTATCCTATGACTCCTTTGTTCCAAATACTAAAAACTATTTGTTTCCCTAATTGAGTCCTCTCAGTTCATGCCTCCATTCCCTTGTACTTGCAGTGACCTCTGCTTGTTAAGTCATTCTCTGCCTAGCAAAATCATATGCAACTCAAGTATTACCTCTGCAGTGAGGCCTCCCCTGACCTCCCCTGACCTTTCCCTCTCCTCCCCACATTCTTCTCTTGCAGTGCTTCTGCAGGATTTTTTTAAAAGTCTTGTTGGAGCATCTATGGCTTTGAATTTCTACTGTAAAGAGTGCCTATAAATATATATAACGTCAAGGATATCTTCAACCTGTAAATAAAATATACATTTGTGTGTATATATATATATGTGTATGTATGTATATGTATGTGTGTGTGTGTATATATAATTATCTATGCTTCTAGACCTTATGGATGCCCTATATTTTCACAGCTCAGTCTCCTTCACTTCATGGTGAGCACTGGAAGTTAGAGAAATGGTATCTTCTTCATATTTGTCTCCCCACGGAAGTACTTAAGTTATTATTTATCTCCGTTTCCTCAACTATAATGGAACCCACTGGATAGAGGTAGATTAAATGATATCATGCAAGTAAAGCAATTAACCCAGCACCTGACACATAGTCAGCTTTCAATAAACAGTGGCCATTATAGTTCATAGTGGTATAGTTGTTGTTATTGTTCTTAAGCCTATGGTCTTTTGAACAAGGGGTGTACAGAGTGAGGGAGGGATGGCAATGACTAAATGATGGAAGGATGGCTAATGAGTAAAAGGATGAAAAGACAGAAGATGATGGGCGATGTGTAGAGGATGTATGGATAGTTGAATAGATGGATAGATGGATCAGTGGATGAATGAAAAGTCTGTCCTCTTTTTTCATCAGTAAGGATAGAAAGAAGAAGACAATGGCAGGAATATCAAAAGGTCTAGTGACTGGAGACAAAACTCAAAGACTGCTTGTTACCCAAGCCTTTGACCATAGCCCAAGTCTCACCTAGGGCGTGTAACTTAGCCTTCCACTGGCTGCTTCTAGGCCACCTTGAGGTCTGTTCCTGGGATAAGTAGAGTCTGCCCTTGGAGCATCTGAAGGACCAGATGCTGGGCCACAAAACTGCCCTTGGACAGAGAGGCTCCCTCAAAGCCCTGGGAAATCCCAGTTCACAGGACCGTGAAGTTGTTCCTTCATGGAGCTACTGAGCCCCATGTCCACTGGCAAAGAAGAGTGAATGATTATTGTGACCTGAGGGTCTCAGAAATGAATGCCCCAGTGCTGTGTAGCCAGCCCTAGCCTCTCACACACTCCCTAGAGAAGGATAAGCCCACCCAGCTGCCTGAGCTGGGTTATAGGAGGAATGAGGTGCAGGGCAAACCTCCAGCACAGAGCTCGGAAGGGAGCCCAGAATCCTTGAGCAATGGGAGCAAGAGGGACTCAGGGTACTCCCAGGCCGCCTCACCCTTTGGAAAAATGGAGACACAGAAGTGAGAGAGGTCGACAGTCCCAAGGTGCCCCACAGATCAATCAATGGCAGAGTTGGGCTTACTCACAGATCCCAGGCCTGGGTTCATTCTCCATCCTCACTGCCCCCAGACTCTCTTATCTATTCCTTGGCTGGATACATGGCACCAGACAGAAGCACCGGGCTTCCTGAGGCTTCTCAGTGGGACCAGACCTGGGGACAGTTTCCTCAGGCTTATTTATATTTAAACTGCTGTTCCTTTCACTGCAATCCCTATAACGTTCCAGGTGAATCACTATCCAGAACAGAATATATATAAAATATTCCAACAGACCCTCTTCCCCAGGCCCTGTAGCTGATGAAAGAAGGCTCAGCTCACTTCACTCTGCAAGCCCCTGGTTATTATTTCAGGGACTCTGATCTGAGGAGTGAGGATGGCACAGGGGTTCCTCAGGGGAAGTGATGGAGCCAAAGTGCCTGTGGTTAGGATCCTGGCTCCTCCCCTTACCAGTTTTGTGGTGTTCAGCAAGGCATCTCCTTTCTGCCTACACTGAATGGCTGGCTGTAGGAGGAGGGGGCAAGGGATACCAGGAAGGGGTGACTTGCAAGAAAATATGAAAATTCGGCATGTATTTTGGGTCCTAGAAACCAAGGAAAGAGAGTTTGCAAAGAATGCAGGAATTTAAATGGCAGATTGAAGTCCTATCACCCTGCTCCTTGCACCCAGAGCCCACTGAAAATAAGAATAATTTGGAGAAGAAAACAAAAAAGAGCAATACCTCCATCTCTTATTAAACCAGAAAGTATACTGCCAAATTCTATAAAATATGACCTCAAACAAGAGAGGAGACAGAGCCCCATGAGGAAGAGTGTCCCTCCCCATGCACAGCTGAGAGGCCTACCCAGTGGCTGACGGGGTCTGGGCTGAGTGCAGTCCGGGAAGGCAACACTTCCCAGTCCAGACCCAGTTCAGTGCCACAGAGCAGTGTGATCCCTGCCCAGCCAGTGGTTCAGTGGCTGGCCTGCTCTAAGCAGGGTGATGGTCACAAAAACCATTGTAGGATTGAAAAAAAAGGGAAGAAATGTATATAAGAAACATAAGCAAAATGCAAAAGAGCTTATGTTGCAAGAGGATTTATTAAAAACAAAAAAACTAAAACAAAAATGTTCAAGCACACAGATTTCCATGGACTCAAAGAGATTGCAGGTGAATAACTAAGAGAAGTCAAGGTGACTTAAAGAGATTATGAGACAACAGACAAAGAAAATGAGTTGGTGGCACTCAGGAAAGAAGTGAAAGCAACAAATAAAAGACATTTAGAAATTAAAAAGACATACTGAAAATAAGAAAACAACCCATAGAATAAACAGAAGCAGCACCGAGAAGGGCACATAGCAAACACCTGGAGAAAAACACAAAAATAAGAGGAAAAGAACACACATATAAAATAGTATATTGATTTCCTAGGGTTGCTTAAATGAAGTACCACAAACTGAGCATCTTAACAGAAATTTATGCTCTTATAGTTCTGGAGGCCAGAAGTCCAAAATCCAAGTGTCAGCAGGATTGGCTCCTGAGGGCTCGAGGGAGAAGCTGCCCACAGCCCTCCCAGCTTCTGGTGATGGCTGGCAATGCTTGGTGTTTTGGGCTGGCAGCTTCAGCACTGTTCTCTGCCTCCATCATCATATGCCATTCTTGTCTCTGTGTCTCTGCCTCTCCTCTTATAAAGACATCCAGTCATATTGGATGCAGGGCCTGCTCTAATTCAGTATGACCTCATCTTAACTAACTACATCTGCAATGACTCTGTTTCCCAGTAATGTC